CCAAGTCATGCAAATGTTTCAATCCATTGGTAATTTCTAAGCCTAACTTGTATTTATCTTTCCAAGTTAAATCTTTGAAGTGCTTCTCTAAGTGTTTACGCAGACTTCCGCCATCAGCCAGTTCGAAGATCATATGATAATTAGCGTATCTGTCTGTTATACGGGAAGTAGACAATAATGAAAAAAATTGTCTTTGTATGAAGTCAATCAACTATCACTTATGAACAAACCTTCATATAGGCCTAGAAAATGAATAATGTTAGGATGGCTGTTCGCTTCCTTGTGATTTTTTAGCTAGCGGATGACATTTATTCCAATAATTAGTCTAAGCGCAAATATGTATGTAACATGACAGAAAATAATGGGCAACCTCTTTGACAAATTGTCGGTGAAAATCTTCTTCACAATCTCCAGATTCACCTGAATGTAGAATTTTCACCGCAACAGAACCATTGTGCTGCTCGCCTAGCGTCGTCTGGGTATTAATTTCGAAACTGCTGCCCGGCCTTACCGTTGCCTTATACACAACTCCAAATGCTCCAAAACCAATATGTTGCAAGTCTAATGTTATGTCATTTTCTGGGCAGCAATAGATTGAACCATCTCGGATGCTTTTGCATAGCCATTCTTTATATGAATTATCAGATATTCGAGACATTGTCAAAGAAAAGAACGGCAGCTCCTAGAAGATGTAGGACAGCAATATATTGTGTGTAACTAAACTGACCTTATCGGCATATCGGTAGTGCCGTAATACAATTGATAAACATTTTTTGAACACGGGACAGGTTAACTTAATTATTAAGCTGGTTGACATTAACATACGACAATGCTATTGTCAGTTCTATGAGATTGAAGTGAATTGTTCGTTGACCGAAATTTGATCAGCTATCGTCTAATATTATAAACTGCGAAACATAATAAAGATTAAATATTATCAAATTATTCATAATCTTAAATTTACTAAAAAATATTTCTTCTTCTCTAAATAATTATTATTAGTAATATTACTATCTAATCGATTAACGATCATTAAAGAACAAAATATATATCTTGATTAAAATCAATAATATGACTTGTTTAAAAATCATCATGACTATCATTTACTTTCGATCTGTTGGTACTAGTACGATAATGTTATGTATCTTTAGTTACCTAGTGCGAAACCGTAAATTTTAATTACGACAAAGGTTTATATTCTGATATTTGCAATTACTACATTTTGCTCATGCATAAAATTCCTCAGACTAGAAGGCAATAAACTTATCTTCTGGCTAAGATAGTAGCAGTGATTTATCTCGAAAGAATAAATGAGGCAAACATAATAGTGTTACTTTTACACAATAAATATAGTTTACTATTACTGCAACTCATTCTACGGAATCGCTGGCTAGAATTGATCTTGTCCATCAATTCTCGTACGATTGTTACTTATTACTAATAAACGCGTTTACTTTGGTGTATTACATACAATCCCCAGTTGAAGCCTACGAACTATCGGGACTAATACCATCGATTCAGGATAGCGGAGTAATTAGCAATCGAAACTTGCGTTATACCGACCGATTAATTTGTGAGCATATTACACGTAAAAGCCAGCGATTTAAGTAGGGATAGAGGTTAGCCAAGCTTTGACTGAAAGAGCTAAATTCCAAGGCCTCGACAATAAAATGTTTATTTACTAGTTAATGAGAAATAAAGATACTATAATGAATTTCAGAAACCAATCGTGTAACCTTCAGTGTGTCAACTAGCTGACATAGACATTGTTCCACTTCGTCCTGGAACAACCCAATCCCCTCATCAGCTTTACATCAAATTTTTCTATCTTGCAAGCTCCACACCAAATTAAAGATTCAGATACTTGGCAGATTTCTTTTTGGATTTAACCAACAGCTTCTTTTCCAATGGTGCAGATGGGATTGCTTTCCACAACTTGCCGGGATTATCATGACAAACCCGCCTGGGACAAGCAAGAACTTGCCAGTCGCAGAAAAAAAGCACAAAACCACACACCGAATGTCTTGGAGAAGCGTCTTGTTAAATTAGAACGTAAGAAAGTGAGCAGATGCAAACGTTGAAGCAAAAACATATTTTGTTCTCATGCTTGTTCAGATGAGAAATACAAAGATAATGACGTTTAATTTTAATTACGTCAGAAAAGAGTTTATTTTTTTTTTTCGAAATATTTTGATACAAAGGAAACTTTACGGTATTGAGCGTTCTTAATATTAATATTGTGGCCCATAATTAGTGACGCGAGTTCGACTACCAAATTTTGATGGTCGCTTCCCCTATTCATTTTATTATCCCGCAAGTCCTCGGACTTTTCCTTCATTATTTGATATTTCTTCACATACTTTATTTTGTTTTCCGTTTTGTTTTCATTTTATTAGGGAAGCCAAAATGTATAAATTAGTGATACCTGCATAGCGAAATAAAAAAGAAAGAAAAAAATACATAAAAATAAGTAAATAAAAAAACAAAAAGTTGACGAGCAAATAGGATCTTCGAGCCTGATGACCAAGTAAGTGGCGTCGCATGTTCACTTTGTCTGGTTTTGTTACAGCGCGCCCCATATAAGAGTATTTCATTCTGAAGTTACTAAAACAATCGTATTCACTCGCTTTCTAATCATCAGTACAGCAAAACGGATACTCATTAACAAAAGCAGTAGGATTTTTGATGCCGGCCAATGGCTTCTTATCCAGAACCAGGAACTTGTTTCGTTGTAAACATGAGATGAAATCAAACTATTAAACCTATTTGCCAGTGAAAATTGACCGAATAAATGAAAATCTTGTGATTCTGAAATAAGAAAACAACCGAATTAGGGAGAAACCGATGTCCTGTGTGCGGAGAATCTCTACAACGGAGAGCCGATCGAACTACATATGTGATACCAAAGACATAAAAGGCCCAAATTAAAAAATTCTGGCAAATATATTATTATGGCAGATAGCAACATGACAAGCTAGCAAAAAGACAAAACGACCATCACTTGATTTGTTGCAGCACGTCCAATTTATCTTGGTTATCATACCATCTTTGAATGACATTCTAAACCACGAATTAGTTAAATATTCGGTCTTGCAATGATAGTAATGTTTTAACAATTAAATTAACGATTGCGCTTCGCTATAACGCATTTTCTGTCAAATTTTGCCGAGTCGCACATTAAAAACATATACATTCCAATACTAATTTATGCGTTAACTTCATGTTAATGGTTTAAATATTGTAAATCGCGTGAATAAGGATATCTCATATGAATAAAAGTTTATCGTGAATAAGAGCCTGTAACATTATGAATACCTACCGACCCAATATAACCTTGTAGGCGGTTAATGTCGTGGTAATCGACGCGCCAAAATTTCGACCAATAGGATAAGTTGGAATTTGATCCGGGATGTAGATCAGAATAGAATTGATTACTTAGTTAAATTAATAACAATCTCTGGTCATTAATGCCTTTCGCCCTCCTCGTGTTTAGCAGGAATTTGAAATTTGGCTGTAACAACTCTTGGGCAAAGGGAGTTAGAACCGGAGTTAGAACTGCGAATTTAGGTGAGTTCAAGTGGAGAAAAACTGTATATTAATATATGTTTGATAATTGACTCGGAATTTTGGGAGTCAGAAGATAAGAAAATAGTTATGTAATAATGGTTACAAATGCGTCAATGCATATGTTCATCGCTTGGCGAATATAGTTATTTATTATGATTGATCAGTTTACTTTTTGTATCCTACATCCGTCTGTCATCAGTTCATCATTGCTCCACAGCTCTTCGCTTACTTTCCCCGTCAATTGGTCGTTCGAAAATGTCATACAATACTGTTGCTCCGTACACGCTTTCTCCTGATGGCACCCATTACATTCTCGACCGTCCGATCGAGAAGTCGGATTCGGATGACCGAGACTATAGGATGATTAAGTTGAAAAATGATTTGGAGGCATTGATTATACATGATATTGAGACAGATAAAGCTAGTGCTGCTCTGGATGTGCATGTTGGGTCCATGAGTGATCCGGTGAGTGAATTTTCAGTAAGTCGTTTTCTTTGTCAGAAGCTGGTTGGCACAAATCGCCAACAGGCCGTGCGTGGTTTTCGTATTGATATATTTGCATCTCCCTACGTTATTTATATGATTTAGATTAATCTGCTAGGGTTAGCTCATTTCTGTGAGCATTTGTTATTTATGGTATACCATGATCTTAAAACTATCTGCTACCGTTTTTATACTCTAACGGCTATATTAACATATGCTTTCGCTTACAGGGGACAGAGAAGGTAATGTATGGGAAAAGATCACAGACAATGTATGCATTGCACATCAATTTTGGAATTGTATTATTAACGTCCATGTATTCAGTATCCCAAAGAGAACGACTATAAAGAGGTAAGGAACTTGAAAATTTGGATTAGACAACTCCGATAAACCATTGCTATTCATCGCATTAATGACTTTTCTATTATTAGTACTTATCTAAACACTCAGGACACTCTAATGCATATACGAGCCCGGAGCATACAAATTATTTCTTTGAAGTTGGAGAGAAACACTTTGAAGGCGCCTTGGATCGGTATAGTTTCAGTTTGCGTACAACAGATATTTATTACTTCGATGACGCGCTTATCGTATAAATTGTATTTTGATTTGATAAATAATAGATTCGCCCAATTTTTTATCAGTCCATTATTTGATCCCAGCTGTACTGATCGTGAATTACACGCGGTTGACTCAGGTTTAAGCAGTCAAAGTTTATTTGCTTGGCAACAATGATTGTGTATATTTGTTCAGCTATATTATGTATCCTTTGTTCCCATTATAATCATTCCTCTTGGATCATTAACAGAGAACAAGAACAATCTTCAAAAAGATGGCAGACGATTATTTGAATTGGAAAAATCCCTAGGCAACCCAAATCATCCGTATAATAAATTCGGAACAGGCAATTTGAAAACATTGCGTGATCAGCCGTTGAAGGAAGGCATTGATGTCAGAGAAGAATTGTTGAAGTTCCATGAGAGATATTATTCAGCTAATTTAATGAAGCTATGTGTACTTGGAAAAGGTGAGTGTTGCGAGTTGAATAGAGAAGATACGGTGATAATACGAAATCGACTGGATAGGGAAAAACAGAGAAAGAATAATCAGTCACGGACTCTAACGAGACTAATTTCACATCACCAGAACCATTGGATGTCTTGGCACGGTGGGTAGTCGAGAAATTCTCTGCCGTACGCAACAAATCGCTTCCCATTCCCGTAGCCGAAGGAAACCTACTAACAGAAAATGAACTGTTGGTGTGTATAAGAGCATGTTGAATTTTTCATGTTAACATCTTAGCGAAAGTATCTTCACAACGTTATTAACTACTGGACTCTGAATGATTATAATTGCAGAGGACTACTTTTGCGAAGCCAGTGAAGGATATTCGGGTTTTAAACTTTGTCTTCCCATTTCCTGATCCAACTCCTCTCTTCAAAACCAAAGTATGTCTTTCGAAATTCATCATTAAATGACTTAGTAGTGGCGAGTCAAACTTTGCCATTAATTATATGCGTTAACGCTCTCGATGCTTTCAGCCTCATCAATACTTAAGCCATTTGATCGGACACAAAGGAAAAGGGTCTATTCTTTCATTACTTAAAAAGGCAGGCTTGATAGACGATATAGATGCAGTCGGCTACACTGCTGCAATCGGATCTGGGTTTTTTAAGATCGAGGTCGATTTGACCGAAGAAGGATTGAAGCGCTATGAGGAAATCGTAAAAGTTGTATTTCAATACATTGACATGTTGAAAAAAGAAGGTATCAAAAAATGGATTTTTGACGAAGTAAGCCGTATATTAGTTAAACCATGCTGAAATGTGTTTGTGTTGTTATTTTGATATATGTTTCGTATTATCTACTCAAATTAAGCTCCTCTTGAACACAGAACGCACAACTATCCGCAATTCATTTTCGCTTTAAGGATAAATCAACGGCGAGCAATTACACGTCACATGTCTCAAATTCTATGCAGAGACCATGCCCTAGGGAATGGGTCTTGAGTGTATCGTATTTGAACCGTGAATATGATCCCGCGCAAATCGAACATGCATTAGATTGTTTGCGAAAGGATCGGTTCACGCTCATGGTGGTTGGAAAGCAATTGGAAGGCTTGGATCAGAAAGAGAAGTGGTACGGAACTGAGTATTCGGTTAAAAAAATTGGAGATGGACTACTGAAGGTTGGTTGATTGAGGATGGGCATGCTGTTGAACGTAAGGGGTGAGACTGTCACCGTTGATGGGTTGATTTTTTTTTTTTTTGCTTTGCGTCGAACAGGATCTGGAGAATTTGCCTGCCAATAGCGAGTTGAGGTTGCCAGAGCCTAATGACTTCATACCTGCGAACTTCGACGTGCATAAGCAAACTAACGTAACGGTAATTAAGCTTGATCCTTAAGCTTCATGATTCGCACTTATTCTTTTATTCTTATTGAACCCTACTTTATTTGCCATTCAAATAGCCACTTAAACGCCCGACTCTTATTAAGAATACACAACTAACCCGTATATGGCACAAGAAAGACGATACGTTTTGGGTTCCCAAAGCGAACTTGTATTTTTTCTTTAAAAGGTGCGTGGTAATTTCTTTGTCCATATCAGACTCATACATACTCGTCTGCTACGTACCAATCTGACCACTCTCATAATTAACATTGCCTTTTCCAGTCCATTAGCTTACGTAACGCCTCTCCATTGTGTAAAGACACGTCTTTACGTTGAATTAGTCATTGATGCATTAACTGAATATTCTCATGCAGCGGAGGTTGCGGGACTGTGGTATTCTGTCTGGAATGAAACCGAAGGATTTTCTATAATGGTCCAAGGATTTAACGACAAAGTTCATGTTCTATTAGAAACAATAGTAACATTAATGAAAAACTTTAAAGTGGATTCTCAACGTTTTCAGTTGGTTAAGGAGCAACTTCAACGTGATTATTATAACTCTTTACTAACAGAACCTTATAATAGTGCGATCTATTATCATACGTATTTAACACAAGAAGTAATGTGGACTAGTGAAGAGAAGTTAGAAGTTTTAAAATTTGTTACAGCTGAAGATATCCAATCATTTTACCCCCAACTACTTAGCAACCTCCATGTTGAAGCCATGGTTCATGGGAACATGTCGAAAGATCAGGCATTACGAGTGACTAAACTGGTTGAAGACATTTTATTACCGAAACCATTAATTACATCACAGTTGACGCGACACCGTTCACTTTTGTTGCCCGAAAATGAGCAGCTTGTTCATCGGCGTCAAGTCTTCGATGAGAAAAATGTTAATTCAGCCATTGAATACTATATAGAGGTGGGAAATCTTTTAGATAAGTGGACTAGAGTGAGATTAAGTTTACTAGCTCATATTGCGCGAGAACCATGCTTTAATCAGCTGAGGACTAAAGAGCAGTTAGGTGAGTAAAGAATGAAGAATCTTGTAACTGAGCAAATATTAGAGTATTGTGTTATGGGTTGGCTAGGAAAGTTGTTACGTTGGATTATTCTTTTAACACGCCTGTTGTATTCAGGATATATAGTCTTTAGTGGAGTCCGTGAGCACGCAGGCATAATAGGCCTGTGCTTTATTGTTCAGGGTATAAAAGATACAGTGTATCTGGAGAACAGAACAGAGGCATTCCTGTTGAAACTTCAAGTAAGAAAAATTTATGTGGCATGCATTGATTAGCTTTGCAGTGCGTCAGACTAACGCTCGTTTATGTAGTCTGTGATTGAAGATATGTCAGAGGAAGAATATCAGAAACGAATCCAATCATTAATAACAACGAAACTTGAGAAAGATAAGAATTTACGCCAAGAGAGCCATCGATACTGGCAGATAATTCGTTCAGGATATTATGACTTCGACCGAGGTAAAGTTTATTAATAGAATGTCTTCTTCATGTGAGAATTCGTAACAAAGATTTACTTATTAACTTAATCATTCTTATCACGATCTCCCAACGCTACTATTTGTCAGTCGACCAAGACGTTGCAGAGCTCCCAACTGTTACCAAGTCATCTCTTCTTACATTCTTCAAGGAAGTCGTACATCCATCTTCCAAGACAAGGAAACTTTCTATTCATCTATACTCACAGAACCCTCCGCCGCCACCCAAGACACAGGATCTATTTAATTGCCTTCAGTCACACCCCTTAACATCTGATATTGACATGCAGGATCTGCATAATTATTTAGAAGTCAAAAGTTTTGGTTCACTTGATAGTTCTGAGACGGAAGAGATACTGAGAAAGTTCCTTGTTGAACGGGTTAAAGCAGATGAGACTGAGATGGAGGAGTTGGTAGAGAGTGTTAGCAAGGCCTTCTTTGCGGCGAATAACAGTACAGATAATAAGAGTAAAAAGACCGTAAATGGAGTCGCTGAGGACGACAAAGATAGTAGTGAGAAAGAAAGGGACGATACAATATTGTCAAAGAGAAATACGATTATTGATGATTTGATTTTGTTCAAGAGTAAGATGCTATTGGGTCCAGCTCCAGCACCAGTTGTCCCATTTGAAATTTTGAGAAGTCGTGAAGATGGGAGTAAATTGTGAGTAGAGATAGATAAGTTAATGAGAACGACTAAAGCTCAGTAACGACTTTGGATATTATTAAATTTCAATATTAATAAGTTTCATCGCATTTATTACGAGTCGGGTATTGCTGCGTTGACGAATCGTTTCTATGTTATTTTACGTAATATCTAATGCCAAAGACGGTGCTGGCTTCACTTGGACGCGTATTGACAAGAAGCTTTAGTTTAGTAAAACATTTACTACAATCCGATATAAATCATTGAATCCTTAATTCTCGAAAGGTCAATTCTACAGCTTGTAAACACGCAATGAAGACTTAAATTCAACAAAATGTTAATTTATAAATAATGAAATGACAGAAGATTATAATCTTCATCTCGTTACTTGTTTAATTGCGATTGAAACATTGTCGAAATTGCATGGTACTAATTATAATAATACAAACGATATTAGTAAATTTGATTGAACGCGACATAATCGTAAGTTTTCTTTGTAACCCAATTCTGCAATTGTAGAGTTCCAAGTTTCAGCATTCATTCTAATTAAAACGTCATTCACGTCATATTAAGCAATTAAGGACTTTCCAATTCGGTTTAAATCGTCAAGTAGCACTTGCTTGCTTTGCCTGCTTTATCATGTTGTTCCTTTTCGTTTCTGTTAGAATTCAATTAATCGTTATTATATGCGACTTTGCCACAAAGAAACCAATTAGAAGGGGTGAACCGCAGCTAAAGATAATTGCACTATGAGCGAAATTCGATCTTTCACATAATTCTCTAATTCTGTGACCTTTCTATCGATGAACACGATTGAGCTGAAACAAAAAAATATTCAAACAATATGAATACTTTATTTTGTGCATTGTCTCATATTTCCATTACACTACGCTGCAGTCACACCCTCTTTCTAGGGGCATATACGGCAGTTTAGCCAAATTACGAGAGGACATTCAAGCAACATCTGGAAAGTCGTATTGTATATATTATGTTACTTGACATCGAAAAAATGTACAAGAAACCCATCGCTGCTCAAAGTAAACCCTTCAAGAATGTCGACAAATTTAGAGTTCGAGGATGTTGAAAATTTTGAATGCCCGGCAATTGATCGGCTTATCGAATCATCCAAAACTCTGGGTAATGGAGAGCTAGTCGATGAAAATAGTCGTCTTAGATGGATTCCTTATTCCGAATTTACTGATATCGAAACAATCGAACATCCTTCCGAACAAATAATCTATAATGCCCAACATAAAAAAGATGGTATTATAATTACGGTAATGTTATTACTGCTTGGAACGCATGATGAATGCACAGAAGAGTTTATCCATGAATTCGCCAGGACACACTCACTTCCAACACACAAATATAAAGACGCTTCTACCACTAATCGGTTCAGAAGATATCCAATATGGCTAGATAAGCGCAATAAACTCATTAAGGGTTTTACTAAAAGTGATGGCAACTATTATATGGTAGCTGAAAGACGCTTCCATTGTTGTTATGCTCTGTACGGATTCTGCTCTGAATGTGGACTACTCAGATGCAGTCCTGTGTGGTGTATCTGCGATCATAAAGCATTGTCGGACAAGTGGACTAGTAACAATAAGAAACTTGACGAATTTATTAGAAAGTCGCAGAGACAAACAAAATCAGCAAACGAAGCCTATCTGGAATGGATTTCACCTGATTATATTCGAAAGGGCCGTTCGAACAGGCGATTATGGGATCTACCTGCTGCTAAAGCTATTACTATTAAATATTTACCTCTTGAAATAACTGCCGAGACGGATGATTCACACTATCACAAGGTAACGATGAAATGTGTTTGTCCCCAATAACTATTTTAATCGATTACTAACATATCATACAACAATAACTCCACCAGTTATGTGTTGACCATCCAGATATTCTTGACCCAAACCTTTGGATTACTATTGGGTTTACGTATGATGCAAATGAGCAGAAATATTATCTAGTTAAGGCTTTTAATGAAAATGCATCACAACATAACTTATGTTTAGAATGTGCAGAGTTACCCGACTATCACAACCCCATATTTTGCCTCGGCTGTAAAGCACCAAAACCTCATGATTGGACTACTGGCAACAAGGCTCTTGACTCGTTTCTAATGAAGTCATGGAGTAAAGTAAATCGACTTGTTGATGCCTACATACAATGGATAGAGTACGCTCGATTGAATAACATAAAAAAGACTCCGTCACTAGGCCAGTGCACGCATACGGCAGACTGGTTAGACATAGAAACAGACGACTTGATAAAAGTGAAATTAAAGAAGATAGTTGATGGATCGAATGCTGAATCGTTTGATTTCAATCAGGTAAACCGCACTCATTGTAACAGTTTCTGCTTGGTGTCAATAACCGTCGTAATAATTGTTTTGTCTTACATAACCAGCTAGTTGAAGATTATCCAAAGATATTAACACCTGATAATATTTGGGTTATCGGTATTACTCAAGAGCCATCTACTCGAGACTATTATCTGGTATTCTATTATGAAGTACGACCAATTTTGGATAGGATTATGCGAATAGGAGAACATCCGTCTATGCCTATGAGCTTAGCATTTATGCAGTATGAAGATTTTGATGAAATTGAAGAGTTGGGTTCTGGCGGCTACGGAACAGTCTATACTGCCAAATATAAGAAGTATACAACGACTGATTTCATCACACATAATTCGTTTAAAGTTGTGCCAGATCGTGTTGTTTTGAAAGGATTCAAGAATCCTGGTCAGCTATTGGAACCACTTGTTGATGAGGTAAGTATGATGTGATTATAGATTCTAATTATCAAAGCGATATTCATTCGGGTTATTACTTTTTTATGCGAACAGTTCAGAAGACTTGCCACATGCTGTCAAGCGTTTAAATTTCTTCAACTTTTTGGGATTACACAAGTACCGAAGACGAGTGAATACCTATTGGTCATGCAACATGCTGACAAGGGGAATCTCATGTCTTATTTGGATAACAATATCAACAGAATAACATGGAAGATGAAATTCCAAATGTTGAAGGATATTATATCTACACTTGGTTCTATCCATCTCGATAAATTAATTCACTGTGATCTTCACGCCGGAAATGTTGTTTTTGGTAGCGATCCTGACCTTGAAAAGAGTGATGGTTTCAGTCGCCCATTCATATGTGATCTTGGACTTTCTAAACCGGTGGAGTCAAATTCCACGACCGTTCACGGTGTTCTGCCTTACATTGCACCAGAAGTCTTTCACACTCGGAAATTTACCCCGAAAGCAGATGTCTATTCTTTTGGTATTCTTGTATATTTGATCGCTAGCGGTGAACCACCCTTTAGAGATAGACAATTCGATGTATTTTTAGCGAGAGACATCTGTAATGGATTACGACCGATGATGCCTGACTCGGCGCCGGAACCGTATAAGAGACTTGCCGATATGTGTTGTGACGCGGATCCTGACAAACGTCCACATTCGTCCGACCTTTTTAGTTATTTTAATAAGACGTTTTCCCAGATCGCACCCGATGACAATGTGTGGAATAGCATCTATTCTGCCAAGAAGGAGAAACCATTGTCACGTATCGAGAAGGAGAATAAATACTCGAGTTTATTGTTGCCTACTGGAGATTTGCCTAAACCAAGAAATAGCTGCGATGTTTATTCATTTACAGGTACGAATGATGAATTGTATTTGTATAAGTAATGGAACATTGATCTTATCATCTGTAATTGCTAGACTTTCTACAAGTTGATCTATCGATTTCAGGCGAAATTTGCGACTTGTGGTATGTATACTTAATCGCACGCAATTACGTGTCATTTAAGACTGTTCAAGTAATTAACTATCCGTATTTACGCAGATTGGAAAAGTCCACCATGTTTCATTCGATGACATGGAAAAGGATATTTCTGTGCTTATAGATAACCCTTGTTTAATAGCGTTGTCACTAATAAAGTTTAAATTTATTGGTCAGTGAACCGATTTTAACACGTGAAAATTATAATCGAAACGTTTTCGAAATACACTAACCTACCAAAAGTATACAACAATCAATAAAAATGAGGTCAAATTTAAATTACTCAACACGTAACAATGCAACTGTTCTAAAATTCAGACCAAATAAACTATTATTAATTGTAATTAAGCCATCGAGTTTTTGTCTT